TATTGCTAGTGCTCCGAATTACTTCCAATGAAGTTTTACAAAAACAAAAAGCTTAAATATTTTCTTTAAACAGCTCTGAAATTTTTAACAAAAATTTGCCTAATAGATGAGGTTTTCCCTTACTCTTATAACATTCTTCAAGTAATATTTTAGTTCTACCAATAGGAATTCGAAAACTTGAGAATTTGTTTAGAAAATGTACTTAGGCAGCAATAGATGGCAGCTGGCAAGACCAAAAAACTTGTCCCGACCACAGAAATTAGAAAACTAGCTAGTACGTGAAAGCCTGTGCTATCCTGTAGTACCGCTAGTTTTAAGGTCCCGAGCTGTCAACAATACATACTAGACATTTTGAATATATTTAGTACATAGATATCTACTGCATATCATATGTCAAAGCAAGGTAAGTATTTGTCAATTTCATTTTTTCAAAATTGTCCTTCACTTGTAAATGTTATGTCAGGCTTCTTACAATGTAGGTCTAAATTTCAATTTATTTTCACTCTATTTGCTGTGTCATTATTAAAGTTTATTTGCATTTTGCCATTATCTTCTGTAAGGCATGCATCTATGGGGATAATTAATTATCATTTCATTTAATTCATTCTTGGTAAAACAACATAGTTTTTAGACAGCAACTATTAAAAGTGGCTCTTTCAGTGCATGCCTAGCATGTTGAAAGTATAATTTTTAAAACAAATGCTAAAAGTGAGTGTTCTGTTAAATGTGTGTATGCAACACAGAAAACAAAATACTTTCATCTGAGTTGAAGAACTGATATAACTAAAAAGGATAGAAGGAAAAATGGACAAGTCAGCAAGGCTGTCAAAAAAAATAGTGTTTGACATACATGATAAATATGATTTTATTTTGCTCGTAAGATTGACCCTCCCCCGCAGTGTTGCAACCTTTCCTATTCGCAAAATAAGAGGTCACTTTTACTATTTGTATCATAAATAACTAATGTTTCATAGGACACCTGGACAACTCAAAAATAATCTTACAAACATTTCTGATACCATTGTTATATCAAGGATCCTTCATCCCAATGAGAAACATACACCCCTATCTCAAGGCTTCAGGATTTCAGAAATTATTGGTGAAATCCCACTTACTCAGGAATAACTGGAATAGTTTTGGCAAAAGATGCAATGGATACATGTACTTGGTTTTTTAGTCAATCAAATTGAAAAAAAAAATTGACTTTTTTTAAATAACTAGAGCTGGGAAACGTGCAGTGGCATGTTTTTTGTTAATGTTCATATTTTCATATTTATAAAATTTGCAGAAATAGATACTAATGTATTTTTAATTTCCTCTTCCCTGTTTCTCGGTGGCAAAAATCTGTAATGTCATTGTAAAATATGTTTTTGTGACCAAAAGCTGCATATCTTAACAATTTGTGTGAACATTTCAACATTTTTTTGGCATATCTGCCCACATATTCCAGAGCTACAAGCTTGCATAAACTTCCTTGCTCCATAAATAACATTATACATATAAAATTAACATCACACATAATATTAATAAATATAAAATATGTCCTTCATACAAACCTTGTCTTGTGTTTAAGACAGTTCAATTACTTGTGTAGAGGTAGAACATTCATTAAGTTGCTTCCAATCCATTTTAAAACCTGACTGGTGATATTTTTTGTTTGAAATTTAAAAATTCTATTATGGAGCAAATTGAAACACAATCATTAATTGTTTCCTCACATATTTTTCAAAAAAAATAATTCATCTATAATTTTTTGCTTTTTTAACCTCAATACTTACTGTTTCCTACTTATAAGACACAATCTGTGTTTATCGGATTCCCAATGAATGCATTTCTCCCAATTATATTAGACTAATTTTGATTCTAGAGGAAATTTTCCCCCGCAGAAGTAAGATTCACAAGTCAAATCAACAATTTTTTCCAAGTACCAAGTTAAGTGGATGGGTGCAGGTGGGACGGAAGCTGGGAGGGGGGCAGGGGCAGTGGCAAAGGTGGTGTCAGGAGCCAAAGTAATTGTGTGGCAAGGGACAGATTCGAGGTGCTGGCAGAACTATGGGGAAAGTGAAGGTGGAGGCAGGGACTGCAGAAAGTGCACAGGAATGGATGGGCCGAAGCTAAAGGCAGGGATGAATACGAGTGTGGAGGACACGGTGGGTAACACCAGGGGAAAGCGAGGTAAAAGGAAAAGCTATCACAGGTGGAGTCAGGGCACATGTTAGAGCTGAGCCGAGGGTTATATCGAGGGCGTTGGAGACATTAGGGTCAAGGGTAGGGGCTTGGGTGTATCAGAGAGTGTAGGTGAGGAGGGGTGGCAGAGGTAGCAGGCGCACTGGGAGAAAATATTATACCACATTTATCCTTTGCTTATATTGCAACAGTATTTCTCAAAAAGCCAGTCCGTAACTAGTGACAGAAGACAGAAATAAAAAACAATTACCCCTAAGTCACTAAATTAAACAATTTTGCAATAATAATTAATTCCAGCTATAAAGGTTAAAAATCAGAGGACTCACTTTCAAAGAAGTAAATTGCGTGTTGTCTCATCTATCTTCAAATAATTCATATAGTTCTTCAGTTCTAAGTTCCTTAATTAAAGTATGATTGATGCCTCTTTGCTCATGATGAGCCACCCATGGTCTCACCCACAAAGGTTACCTCTTTACCATTTTCTTTTTCAGTATTAACCGAAGAGTAGTAATTATCAAGCATAAAATAGCACCAAATGCAATCACCATCTTGAATCACAAGCAAAATCATGAAAATACCGGACACAATTTAATACGTTTGTAAAAGTTATTTGTAAGTAAATTTTCCTTAGTCAAAGTTCCAAGATCTTCAACAACGTTCATCAATGATATTGGACAAACATCTTTTTCAGGGTAAAACCCACCTCCAGGAAAAAGTACTAGACAGGTGTAAGGAGTAAGACAACTTTGAAGTATTGTACTTTGTATTGATCTTTCCACAATCATGGCAATATTAGTCTTGATTATCCAGTAAACAGATGCACGGAACACATCTCAATTACAAAATAATTTTGATTTTGAGAAATCCAATTGTGATGTTAATGTCAATACAGGGCAATTAATGTCACAGGAAACTGTACTTCAAGTCCAGAAAAGCAAAAATGTAACTATCTTAGGTGAAGATATATGAACTTCTATTAGCATTTCCTGAAACATCCATTAATATTCATAAAGTAAGGGACAAATAGGTGAATTAAGCAAGCATTTCCTAACACCAGGATACATTAAACAAAGGAAATCTTAGAAAGAAAACATTTGATTTTATTTATAAAATTCACGCATGGATGCCACATAACACTCAAAATCAAAACAGTTTTAGCTTTGAAAACGTTTTGTACCTCATTTTATTTCTCATTACTTATATAACTATTTAGATTTATTTTCATACCTCAGGATGCAAGAATTACTGTTGGTGAAAATTCAAAACAAAAAATTAAATTATATTGTTGTTGGAAAATCTGATAGATTGAAATAAATCACTTATTAAGTAAAAAAAAAGTGTCTCTTAGCCAATGACAATTGAATTTGCATTCCTCAATATCATTTTTGTTTTGCAGTTGGTTTTTTGATAATTTAATTTGCATTTAGCTACCTTCCTAATGAAAGCTGAAAGAAGAGTATCTCGTGTCTGCCGAAGGTATTGTTTGCAGCAGAGAGTGAATTCATAATTTCTAGAATGTAGTCAGAAACCCAAAATCATCTGCCTGAGAAAGGCACTAATATTACAGTTACATAAGCATGTGCATTTGCTTCTAATTCTTTCATTCGATCTTCAAACTGCGACGTAGCAAATTTCAAGCCCATCTCATGCAGTACCATGACAAAATAGCGATTTATTGCTGAGACACTGAATATCATATTGATACTAATTGAAATATAATTTTGAAAAGTAGCTTATATTAATCATACTTCACTGTTCAGTCATCAGTTCTTTAGTACACTAAATTTATCATTTAGTCTTCTTCTTTCAAAAATTAGCGACACTGGTGGCTCAAAACATACCATCATATTTTGTGATCAGCACCAAATGTATTTTAGGAAACTTGTGAATGATGCTAGAAAAATCACATAACACAGCACTTCCACAGTATTGGTTATTACTGCACTATCAATGAGACCAGTATCTGCCAAATTAAACTCTATGAATGTTCATAACTGGTACCATGCAATTAACATGAAATTTACAATGTCACACAGGAGGCATAACTAAACCAATCAGTACATATGGCGATAGTTTCACAGTTAGGATATGTTGATGGTGTTTTCATACAACTTCATGAAAACTGAAAATGCCAAGGTTTGTCAACTTTCACACTTGACATATACTCACCCAATAACAATTTATGAGCATTTACATAATTGTCAATATTCGTAATAATCAATTTATGTTGAGAATTATCAGTTTTTAATTTAAATGGTGGATATCCCCCCCCCCTTCCCAAGACCAAATCAAAATAACGAATTATTTCTATGCTCTAATGTTACAAAATGTACCTAACAATTTTTGTCCTCTGTTCAGTCTCAATTCATTTCAGTCTTCATTTTAGTGTGGCAATGAGTAGAGCAATTTCAAAATTGATTTTTGTCTCCCTAAGCCTGCAGGACACTTTGCTATTTGAAGGTGTTTACTATTTAAATTTTTTTAAGCCCTAATTAATACGACTTTAGGTTATTGGAGAAATTCATTTTTCAAATGCTGTACTTTCACGCATAAACATTAAGGGTTCCAGATAGAACTATTGCTTTCCATAATTCAAGAGGAATCAAAACTGCCAGTTCTGTACGACTGTATCCTGTAAATGCAGTACATTTTTTCAGGTCAGTCCTGAGCATAGCTACAGAAACCAACTTCGACAATAAATAAACAAAAATTTATAGGTATCAAAAAATTATAAGTTTGCAAATTTCTATTAATAAAAATTGAATGTTTAATCCAAAAATACTTACACTCAACACAAAAATCAATTTACTGCCTGATGCAAATATATGAAATATTAACAATAAAAAGGAGATTGCAAACTGACATATTCAAAATCAGTATAACATATTTCAAAGTTGTCTATAAGCCAATAACCATTCAGTTCCATATCAAGAAACAGATATCACAATTATATTTACAATATGATGTAATGTCTTTTTAAAAAAATTCAATATCTGAAAATGTATAATTAAAATCAACAATAAAATAATAACATGATTTCACTTGGCAAAGAAAGAATTCAAATATAAAATTGTCAACCTTTCTTAAAATGAGCTACGGAAAGTGCAATAAATAAAAAAGTACAATCAACCCTACGATATTTGCAATTAGTTTGGGAATGCTGGTAAAAACGACTCAAGTAATTGCCCAAATAAATGCATCTGGCTTTACAAAACTTATGATCCACTGAAACTCTGAAATTCATGTTCAGTAGGACCCAAATTCTCATACCACACTGCAAACAAAACCACACTGAACACATCACTGAACTCGCCACTGGGTTCAAGAGGATGTCCTTTTTCCCAGGAGATCTAAAATCTGTCACTTTCCACAGTTATAAAACTCTCAAAAGTCTTCAGTTCAGCACACAACACACAATAAAAGAGAATATACAAACACCACAGTAATCAAAACTTCAAAGACTTGGCAAAAAGAGCTGCAGTTGCTTGTGTCTTATCACCCCTAAAACGACGAAGTTCTGCTATAACCTAAACAGAACAAAGTCAATATTACTGAACATTTGAAATACTGAACACTAACTAATAATCATAAATAAAGTCATAAACAAGCAGGAAGATGCTGTAGTACACATTTTATTATATTCAGTAAAATTAGAATTTATAGAATCTAACCAAGAATGAACAGGGGTAACTTAGGAGGTTTGACCCACTCGTGCAAAAATATCATTTTACACTGTTACACTGTATGTGCACATAAATATCAGTCAACATTTAAATTTCATTTCAAGTTTTCACATTTCAATGTGTGTTATGGATAATAGTAGATCTGTCATTTCTTTTAAAAAAATGTTCAGTGCTTACAGTTGAACTATTATGCATAGTAATTGACATCTGTTTATTTCAATTCCAAAATAATAATGTGTTATTAACAACCCATAAGATAATTAAATTTTCTTACATGAGAGGCTACTTAAAAATCTGTTATCTTCAATTTTTTTTTCTGTAACTGTTGCTAGGGCAATCTTAGTATTGAAAACTATCCATACATCGTAATACCCTAGATTTCTAAAAGCTTCACAAAACAAAACACATTTTACTTATTTATTTTTAATAAATAATTGATGCCAGCAATCTTCAAATTCATGACAATTTTTTGACTATTTTCTCAATAATCAGTTGTAGAAACAAAATTGTTTCCTCCCATCAAAAGGCTGGATTGTTATGTATAGAAATAAAATTGGAAAGTGTGATTTCAAAATAACTGCTATTTTATAATCTTGTTTGCCTATTAAGATGATATATAAAATACAATTGTGTTTACAGTGTTTGTCTGACAGTTTGGGTTCATCTTTGGAATAGCTAAACTGATTTCAATGTTTTTTTCACTGAAAGGTAAAGAGTACTTTGTTGGACATACCTTAGGGTATTTTTCAAATTATTTTTTTCTATTATGTAAAGAAGAATGTTTGACCTTTTACACAAATCTACACTTTTATTCTTTTCTTAATGGCATTTTGTATTTGTGAACTTGAAAAAAAGGAAACATTACAGAATACTTGAAATTTCATAAAAACTAACCACAACTCGCTTTCCTATGCCATAACAAAATTTAAAAGTGTAATATTTCCAGTTTCATGTAACTATCTTGAAAATTGTGGGTTTTGGAAGTGTAGAGCAGATTAGGCCCTCATAAAGATACAGGCCTCTACATACTGGTGAATTTGCAGGACCAACCATTCGAAAAACGAAATTAAACTCACAGCTACACACACTCCGAACATCACCCTGATTTTGCAGTAGTGCCTGAAATTTTGACATAGCAACATCTGTGCGAGCACAACAGAATACTGAAGTGCTTTATTGGGCTGTTGCACAGTGATTTCAAACCTTGAAAATTTGTCTAAAATGAAAAATATCCTATTTAGAGATTAACCCCAAAGTAGCTTACCCAACTAATAGAGATTAAATACAGGCAAGGAGCATATCTTTTGTATTATGTTCAAAGCCCAGCTTGAATGCTAAGTATGTGCAGCAAAGTTCCAATCCAACAGCAAGAGTTCAACGACCATGTTATTAAAATGATTGATTACATTTATGTACAAATATAACACATACTTACAAATAGCACACAATTCTATGATCAAAATTGCAATTACCTTTAATATTACATATACCTTTAAAAATCAAAAAAGTTTCTACATCTTGCTGCAACTAAATTGATGGCATGGGTTTAAAGTTTTTAATGCCGTTTAATAATTTATTTTCATATTGTGTGTAATTGCTGAAATTTATAAATAAAAATAATTTCTTTATGTAATGTTGTTTCTTCTTATATTATGTCAAAATTTTCTTATATTTCAAATTTTGAAAAGAAATTTGCATTTTCTGTTGTATTTAATGTTTACAGCCATACTGGATCTGAAATTTTATTTTAGAAATATTTCACTTCAAACTTGTAATAAATGTCCAAATGTAATTGTCCAAAACCCTTATGTACCAGAGAACATTCCAATTAAACAACTTTCACGCTTGGGCCTGTTTTTCAAGGAATGCAATCACTGTAACTTGGCTCAACATTATTACACACTATACAATTCGTCAGGCAGTATAGTGGAGGAATAAAGCAGTCAACCAACCATTCAACAGAAATTTCTGGATGTGCCTCCACACAACACAATTTGTCAGATTGAGTGGGCAGTCAGCCTGACAAATTGGAACACGTGACGAGGCCAGCTGAAGTCAGAATTCATTCTTTCCCTAATAGATGATCCCAATAAGTACTTGGTCAATGAGGGGAAATTTCAGCTAGTTCACTCTTATTTTGCCAATATAAACATTGTTAATCTCATGTAATTCCTGTTAGTGGTATTCTGAATGAATAAAATAAGGACACAAAGTCTTCTTGTGTTAGTTTTAAGTTTAAATTTCTACTTCAAAAACATTTCTTTCATAGCTTCATCAACATAATATTATCAGTTTCTTACACTTCACTAAAAAAGTGGTAATTTTATGTTATTTATCTAAATATATCTCTCTAAAGAATTGCACACTATTTTTAGAACATGTTCATTCACTCAAAATGTTTACTTTTTGCAATGTCAAAGTCCGCTAACTACATATTCTGAAATCCCAAAATCATGAAACTGTTACTTTACACTCACTCTTCTTTAAATTTCGAATGCCAGGTATGCGAGCCTTATCATGGTTTACTAATAAACATGCTAAAAGCAAATGTTCTAAATAATTGTTGAAACTAGTAATAAATTAAATGACCTAGAGCTCTTGATATCTTTTACTGTGAGCTTACTAATGCAGAATTTATGGGTTGCTAAGTGCACAATATACCTTCAATAACTTCCTCTGCTGGTGCAAAGGCACTTCTTCGCACAAAGGCACTGCCCATGCCCTTTTTACTCGCGCACTTCGTAACCAAATACAGTTCCTGAGCTAGCAAGTCCTTTTGCTTCTTCTATCCTTCATCACAATGATATAGTTTCCTGATTTAAGTTTCCAAGAGCAATAACTTCAATTTTTGTATTTTAGTTTTCACATGATTATCATACTTACAAAGTTATAATTAAAAACATTTGATTAAAAATTCAATATTTGTACAAAAAAGAGAAAATAGTGAGTTTGGGCACAAAAAATGAGGAAAGTGAGAGGACACAAAATAGTAAAAAAATAAGTAGCTGAGAGGCTTGCTACTTAACTTGTGTCTTGCATGTTTACAATTTTTTTTATTCTTAATTTTCCAAGTTTGATACTCTCTAATGCATTGTCTTTGCCAGTGGTTTTTACTAATTCATTATTTAATTTAATTATCCCCTCCTGTATTTATAATGCACCAGGTCGCACCCACCTGCCATTAGGACAGTTTGCAGATTTTAAAATATTACTTCAGTATATAAAGATAATATTAGCTGGAAAAGTGTAAATATTTTGCATAATATGTGCTACTAGTTACATGGCATTAAATAACAGAAACAATTGTTTAAGATCAAGAGGAACAGAAGAAAAAGAAAATTTAAGTACAAAGCAAATCAAACCTCCTGAGTTTCCCATACATACTAGAAAAATTATGATTTATTATATAGCCACATTGTGTTAATATAGTACAAGACATGTGAATTCAAGGTAAATATTGGCTTCAAAAAAACAACAAATTCTACCATTGCTTTTATTCCTCAAAGCATTCTCAGCCCACAGTAATTCTATTTACTTTAGTATGGAAATTCCAAACCAAATTAAAATTTCTTACTTTATTTTCATTTATTTGAAAAGGACTCCTCTGAAAACTCCCTTTTGTGAATTATACTCCGATTTGACAGTCATAAAACTGATCGTTACTCACCTGTTCTCTCGTAAAGCCTAGACTCACCAGCTCCTTTACTTCTGCTTCACCAAAACCATCTGTTGGCAGAATGGAGGTTGAGAGGTCCCTTGGAATGGAGGCACGAGAAGCACCTGCTGCAATCATAGAGGCAGCAAACATCTAAGGTCAATTTTCTACTTCAAGTACGTCTCTTTTATAGCAGCATCTACATAACATTATCAGCTCTCCACACTGTTCACAGGACTAATGTTATATTATTTAGATAAATATTTCTCTCTAAATAACTGCACACTCAATTATAAGATCATGTTCATTTGTGTATCTTATGAAACTAATTTCCATTAGTGAGAAAAGTATATACTGAACAATCAGATGAAATCATAAACATCGACCATTCGTATCAAATCAAGAACTTTTGCCTTCTCAAATATATAATTCTTATACATTTGCAAATGCTCACATTTTCTTTTTAATTTTACCGGATTCCTACAAATATCAACAAATAATTTATAACTATCCTTTTTTGAAATATTTATTGTATATCATCTGTTTACAATTTGTATTAACAATTTATGGAATCAAGAAGATTTATAATGGGATCATGTATTTTGCCAAAACCAAGTAAGTTAACTTTTCCTCGCCAACGATTCTTCAGAATGCCAGAAAAATTACTTTTTCATGCAGGGCATTAAAGCTTCTTAAGTCACAGCCAACATTCACTAAGGTAGTGTATCACATGCCATTACACACTTGATAAGGCGTTTTATTGCTGTGACCATTCAGTGAACCTAGAGACATTAAAAGAGCTCAATGTGTACTACATGAACAAATAAGAGTATCTTTTTAAGTTAGTGCGCATAGCCAATATTGTCAAACCATTTCCATCATGTACAGTCTCTCCGCACTCCATAGATCATTTACTGGTATTCATCCATTCAGAGCTGACCCAACTATTTGCGGTTCCCCTGTCTGCTTGTGGGCCGACTAGATTTCGAGTTTGAAGAGCGTTTGGCTATGAAAAAAAGTTGACTCTCTTAAATAAAGTACTAAAAAACTAAGAGTTTAAAAGACATGAAAAATAATGTAAATAAAGGAAATTTTATGCCTAACAACAAAAAAAATCTGTAAAACTGACTAGTTGAACTGGACTACTCTTCTACTTTTATACTTGAACACAAAAAGAAAACAAATTATA